GAATAACCTTTTTTTAGTTACTTTTTAAAAACTGCTTTGACCTTTCTCTATAGAAAGACTTGAGAGTGTGGATGATGAGAATTAGCCGTTGTTGTTGTTGCTAAGTGCTGAAGGATTTCCAAAGAGTGGCTGGTAGATTTAAACCACCAACCTTGTAGTTAACAGTCCAGTGCTTGTCCTACAGTATCACACCAGGAGGGCCTGGTCCACAGAAGAGATAGTAGTATCTTGGCCAGGCATGTTGGAACTTGAGAGGGAAGAACGTAATATGGTAACATCTTTTCCAGGCCTAGTCAGTACTATTTTCTAGTGAATTACACAAGGAGGAGGAGTGTCAGAGAAGCATCACGGAATAATTGATCAAGAATTTTGCATTGAGCATCAAATACATGAGGATACACAATGCATGAAACATTGGTGGGGGACAGGTGTGGAGGGAGAGCCAAGGTTGGCTTTAGAAAGGACCTTTGTTTTATTGTGAATTATGAGATAGTTTACATGGGAGAACATTAGTTTTATATTCATCCTATCATGTATCATTTCATTTCCATGGTTACAATCCCCTCCATGCATTATCAACGAACCAAAGGGTATACCCTGCAAGCCTGCCTCCTGGTTGTCAGCACACAGCTCCTCTCCCTCTCTGGGTCTAAAGTCCCCAGCTGCTCAGTCTCTCCATGTCATTATCTCTGCCTCCATCTCAGGCATCACTGCTTCTCTGTGTAGGGTCCCACTCTCTGCTTTTCTTCCTTGATGGTCCCAGGGACCTCCGCTCTCCTAGACTGCAAAGTGAATTACTCCCCTCCTTGCTACCAAACATCTACGTTTACATTTCCAACCCTCACAATCAGTCCTGATAACAATTGTTCACTATTGTATCACAAGAGATCTATCCGCATTTCCTTTCACCAACCCCTGCCTAGACAGATTGGAGATTCTACCTTCCTCCACACCCTGAAGGGCCCTTTATTTTTCCTAGGGTGACCTGTAAGGTAAGCAAGGGACTGCTCATCTTGCCCTGATCAACTCAAACCCACTAGCTGTTCCATGTGAGAAAGATGAGCCTTCCTGCTTTTGTAACGCTTTGCAACCTCAAAAACCCTGTACAGAGTCTCTATGAGTTGGAACCAACTCAATGGCTATGGCATGGTTTGATCTAGTTTAGAAAGACCTTTTTCTCTTAAGGAGCCGTGGTGGCACTGTGGGCTAGTGGTTCAAACCCACTAGCTGCTCTGCAGGACAGGAGAAAGATGATGCTGTCAGCTCCCCTAAAGATTTACAGTATTGGAAACTGTATGTAGGGTCACTATGAGTTAGAATCAACACTCGATGTCAGTGGGTTTCGATTGAGTTTTTGTTTACCCTACAGTGGATGGATGGATGGATAGATAGATAGAAGATAGATGGATGGATAGATAAATATATAGATAGATGATAGATGATGGACAGATAGGTGATGGATGGATAGATAGATAAATAGATAGATAGATAGATAGATAGATAGATAGATAGATAGATAGATAGATAGATAGATAGATAGATAGATAACATAGCTTTTGTGACCACGAGAAAATAATACTGAAGGCAAGTAAGTACAGCCTTATATATTTAGGTAGCTTTACCCACCTTGCAAAAACTGTTTCTTTGAGAAAAAAAAGAAATTAATCAATACATCCATATTCAGTACCTGGTGTGGTCCAGCTTCATATGTGTAAGGAGTTATTTAAGGTAGTTAATTGGTTACGAATCAGGCTGCGAACCTTAAGGTCAGCGGTTCGAAACTACCAGCCGCTCCACGGGAGAAAGATGAGGCTTTCTACTCCCATAAGGATTTACACCCTAGGAAACCCTGTACAGGGTCGCTATGGGTCGGAACAGACTCTACGGCACTTAACAACAACAACAATAACAATTGGTATATGTGGAAGACAGGTAGTGCATCAATTTAATGTCTCATGATTCAAACCCAGCCAGTGGCCCCTGGAAGAAAGACCTGGTGATCTGGTACTGAAAAGATGACAGCCTAGGAAACCCCATGGGATATGTGTCTCATGGGGTCTCTAGGAATCAATCCCTCAGTACACCCAACTAGAAGAACACTAAGGAGATATGAAGTTGTTAAGTGTCTTGACTCATAGCAACCCTGTGCAGGGTTTCTGAGGAGCAGCTGGTACCTTTGAACCTCTGACCCTGCTCTTGTGGTCCAGTGCTTATCCCACAGCGTCACAGCAGGAGGTATAGAAAATCTAAAACATGATTTCGGTAGTATAAATACAGTCTCCCTTCTCCACCACCAATGAAACATTGAGACAGAAGCAGGTGGACAGTGAGAAATGTAGGGGAAGGAGGGAACCAGAAGAGTAATGCATCGACAGCTAGTTCATTTAACTACACTCCATGCAGATTTCTTTCCCAAGCCAGGTTTTCTTTTCTTTTTTTTTTTGTAAGAAGGACTAGAAAGAGATGATATTAGGCATGTCCAGATTTTCAAGTTGCTCTATTTTCTCTTAGACCATGAATGGCTTGAAATATGTGTATTTCTTATCATGTCTTTAGGAATTGGGTATTTACTTTTTAGGAAGCGTTGGAATGCCAATAAGCCAAATTGAAATAATTTTCCACCTTCATAAAGCTCATATTTTGAAATTTCTGGGTCCATCCTTATTTTTATATCAGTATAAAAATTCAGGTAAGACAGGATGGGATAAAGATCAGAGGCATCTATCAGTATAAGTTTCAAAAGCAACTGGGGCAGGTCTCAGAATTTAATGTGCTTACGTTTAAGTATAAGATGCCACCTGAGAGCGACACCAAAGCCTAACCCACTGCCATCAAGCGAACTTACAAGGCAGCAAAGAACTGTTTCTTAAGGCTTCTGAGACCAAAGCAGCCTTGTTCATTTTTTCTCCAACGGAGGGACTGGTGGATTTGATCTGCCAACCTTGTAGCTAGCAGCTCAATGCTTAACCCACAGTACCACCAGGAGTTGCCCATGAATAAACTGCTTATTTGATGCACGGATAACATTTGAACAGCCATGTGCTAAGGTTGGAGTCCTGGTGTAGCGCTTAGGGTTAATGCACTGGACTGCAAGGTCAGCTTGAACCACAAGGTTGGCGGTTCAAGCCCACCAGCTGCTCCTTAGCAACCATATACAGGGTTGCTATGGGTCGGAACTGACTTGATTGCACTTAACAACAACAACATACTAAGGTCATCCTTGGGGCTGTAAACAAGTTAGTGTATTCACATTAGAACTAATAGTTCTTAGAACCAAAGCATTCTTAGAAAGTTCTAAGAAACTCTTAGGGAAAAAAAAAAGTGTTCTTTGATTTTTCAATTCAGGGGCCAGATTATTAAGATATTGAGCGTTTGCCTTCTCAATGGGTCAGCAGATAGCAGTCACTTCTTAGCTCAACTTACAAGCATGTGCCTTAGATCAGAAAGCGTATTGGACCTCTCCCTTCTGAAAACTCAGAGAAGTCCTGTTGGAAACACCTTCCCTCACATTCAGACTTTCACCATTGCTTCCTCTCTGGGGCAGCAAATTATACCAGGCTCTCTGCTGCCTGACTCTCTTCCCAGATAACAAGATTTTATCCACCTCCTGAGTCTGTGATGAAGTCTATAATGGCTGTTTGCATAAAGATCTGCCAAGTGGAGCAGGAAATGAATCCAAAACCCTAAAGTGGTTTTTTTGTTTTGTTTTAAAGCTGCTCCCCTAAATAATGCTTTTAATGAGTTTGTAAAGTTGGTTCTCATTTTCCTGAATGTTCTTCTATCTTCTGTTTTTGAGTATGAATTTCTAAAGGGGCCAAGTTGCATTTTCTAGAATACTTTCTATCCAGAAAAACTAGGAAAAGAGACAATCTGATTCATCCTCCATACAGGTGATTTGAAAATTCCTTTAGATATTTAATGCATTAACTAAGGACTTGTTCATTCCTGAATGCCTTGAAATGCATTCCATACGAAGTATTCATGGGAAAAATGTGATGTCCACTGGGACACAAAAATACCTCCAAATTCTGTATCGCATCTCAAGGTCATAATTAAGGGTAACGATCATTGTCAGAATTGCAAAGGTCTCTATTTATATGAGTTTTCAAAGTTTTGTGACCTCAATACAAAAGAATATGTGATGGAATATCCAGGAATGATACTTGAAAGGTGAACACCCCCCACCAAAAAAAAAAAAAAAAATCAAGATTGTTTCAGTGGTTCTAGAAAATATTGAAATGGGAGAAAATTAATTACCACATCATTTTCGAAAGATCCACCTGTAGCAAGACAATTCTATCCCACTAATTTGTATCAGCAGAAAATCAAAGACAAGTATGATCTAGCTATGCAGTTTCCCTATGTATATAAAAGCATATGTGCCGAAGTTGTGTGTCCTTTCAGTTTTAGGAGAAGTGAACATGCAAGCCCATATGATAGGCAGATGATTAGCATTGATATGAGTTGTTGAATCCAATGTGACAATAACATTTTTGTGTATTTTTTTTAAGGCTGGAAATTGAATCCAGTTGTGGGTGCCGTCTACAGTCCCGAATTCTATGCAGGTAAAGAGCTTCTCTTTGCACGACATCTTGGCCTTTTCCAAATTGTCTTGCCTGCCAGTAGACAATGGGTTTGATAAAACAGTCCAAGCAGAGCAAATCTCTATCCTAACACATTCCACATTTTTTTTTTGGGGGGGGGGGGGGGGGCGAGTGGGGGTGGGGGAAGGGTAAAACCAAGAATGTTGGAAACCCTTTAAACAACAAAAGGAAATCATGTCAGTTTCATTACGGGACCAGAGTGGAGTCATTTGGCCATGAAGCCCCTATGACATTTCATATTGATTTTGCCTTAAAAAAAAAAAAAAAAAGCACATCCTGGCTCTGTTCAATAGCATTTTGAAAAAATGTAGAGCTGCTCACCCAATTTTATGTCAATCTGCTTGAATGTCTCTCTGAGCCATACATTTGCTTTTGGGGATCCTTGTTTTCTTTTGGCAAATCAGAGTTTCAAAGGTGATAGTAGGTTGAAATTACCAAGATGGAAGAATGTTTAGAAAACTAGGAAAACTGAAGTAATCTTTCTTTCTTCACCAAGTCCCTTGGTAATTCCATCTCTGTCTATGTTGTCTTCAAGGGTACTTGTCTCCTTTTACCCCATCACGTCCTCCGCACCAACTTTCACTCAACTGGGAAATCTACTTAAACATTTGCTCAACAAAATGTGGGAATGATAAATACAGTGGCAGAAGTAGCTCACAGGGCTTTAAGGGATGGAGATGCCAAAATCTGTAGGTTTGGAGGCCTCTGCAGACTTACATGCCACACACCATAGGTGAGGCAAGGAGAAGACACCTGGTGGGAGACTATATAGTCTAAACACATAGAGCTCATATTTGAGTTTATCAACGTGGCTTTGCCCCTTTCCCCTCTTGTCTCCTTGCTCAGTAGCAGGCTGCATTTTCTGCCCCGTAATCCTAAAGATTGATCTTTCATACTGAGGCAGAAGATAAAGTTTTCTCTGCCATGATCCTTGTTTTTAAATAAAGAAAAATAATGACCAGCTGATCCACATTCGTTCCCTGAATGATCCATTGGCAATGAGTGTGTGCTCCCCATCATCTGGGATTTCATACTTCTGTCCTTTTCCTGATACTTAGCAGGAACCTAAAGGATGAGAAAGGAGCCCAGGAAAGTGAGATAGCTCTTCTAGTACAATAAATAATTGAATTTAAATAAAAAAAATTAAACTTTAGGAAATCTAGGTGGGTGTCTGACAGCTGAGTTCTTGATTTTAGGCAGGCAATGTGTGTGGTTTTTTTCATGTGTGTGTCTTTAGCACAAACCTTTAAATCCAGAGATCCTATAACCTGGGGTCACTATGTTGACATTTATAGAGGAAAAGAGACAAGCTTAGCTACAGGGCTTTCCATTCTTAGATCATAGAATCCAGTTCCTGAGTGGGAATTTAGCAGCATCAGGAGGGTGGGCTCTGCCCTCGTTCAGCCTCAATTAGAATCCTGGCTCTCCTGCTAACCCAGCTGTTTGACTTTTAGGAAGTTGCTGAACCTCTCTGTGTCTCAGTTCTTGCATCTGTTAAAGAGATAGGATGATAGTAACAAACCCATAAGTTGTCTATGAAAGTGAAATGGATTAATAGAAGGACAATTGGGTTACATAGCCAGCAGCATATAAATGGTTGGTAAGTGAAAATAATAAAGTAAATGTTCTACTTCTCTGCTGTACAGGGGTAAGGAAAGCAAGCTGATACTCTTCCATTCTAAGTGAACCATTAGACCAGGAATCTTTCCTTAATTCGTGAAAGGAGAAGTGTTTCACTTCTTGGTGTATCTGTTTAAACAAAACAAGTTTGCTATAGACTCACCACAACCCTATAGGACAGAGTAAAATGCATCAGGAATTTTCCAAGACTGTAAATCTTTACAGAAGCAGCCTGCCTCATCTTTGTCCCAGGGAGCAGCTGGTGGGTTTGAACCACACTCCTTTTGACTAGCTGCTGAGTGCTTGAACACTGCACCACCAGGACTCCTTGGGGTCTATCTGTTGTTGTTAAATGCCATCAAGTCAGTTCTGACTCATAACGACCCTGTATTTGGGTTTCTGAGGAGCAGCTGGTCGATTTGAACCACACAGCCTTGGGGTTAACAGTCCAGTGTTTATCCTACAGCGCTACACCTTGTTGTTATTGTTGTAGATAAGTGCCGTCGAGCCAGTTCTGACCCATAGCTACCCTGTATAGAGTTTCTGAAGAGCAACTGGTGAGCTGGAACCGCCAACCTTGCGGTTCAAACTGACTTGGCAGTTCAGTGCATTAATCTGCAGTGCCACACCAGGATGCCAGGGGAGCAGTTAATTTCTGGGGCTATGCAGTCTGTTTGGGGATTCTACAGAACTTAGCAGGTGTTGCTGGGATCTCTCCTTGTCCAAAGTTGGAAATAAATTTTTGATGTTAACTGTCATTGAGTTGGGTCCAGTTGAATTGATCCAGCATCCAGAGTTCCATCATGGTGTCATGGAGAGAGAGTAGCTGCCCTAAGAATTGCTGTTGACTGAGTACTTCCTTCGAGTCAGGGACTGTCCTAAGCATTTTGTAGAAGTTAATGATGTAATCCTCCTGACGATTTTTTAAACAAGGGAACTAAGGAACAAAAGGTTGTACCAATGGCCTGAGAGTCCACAACTGTTGGAATGGAGGCCTGGTAGTTGTGTGAGTTAAGCATTGAGCTAGTAACTGAAAAGTTGGTTACTCCACGGAAGAATGATGAAACTGTCTGCTCCCGTAAGGATTTACAGTCTAGGAAACTCGAAAGAGTAATTCTGCTCTGCCCTATGGGGTCGCTTTGAGTCCAAACTCAGTAGGTAAGGAGTCTTGGTGAATGGGTGGTTATGGTGCCTGATAGCTAACGAAAAGGTCAATGACAGGGACCTATCAACCACTCCACAAGAGAAAGATGAGGCAGTCTGTTCCCCATAAAGAAACCCAAATGGGGGGCAGTTCTAACCTGTCAGAAATTTGAGTCAGAAATGACTAAAGGAATGGGTTTGCTTTTGATTTTTAAAAAGCAGACCCAGAATGTAAAACTAATGTTCTCCCATGTAAACTATCATATAATTCACAATAAAACATTAAAAAAAAAAAAAAAAAAGCAGGCCCTGCTTAGAAACCAGTATGTTGTGTCCTCTACCAGGTTATTTTATGAACATAAAGTTTTTTCTTAATGACTACCCAGTAATCACAGAGCAGTAAGATTAAAGCAGAGAAGTAAAAGAGATCATTCAGGATTATTCTAGCAAAATCCACTGTTAACTGGGCATGTCTGGGGAATCTTTATGAAGCCCAGACAACCACATCCTTATTTCCAGAACCTGCTTTAATGCACTGAATTCTAAGAAACTGGAGTAAGGGCAAATAAATCCTCCCTGATAAATCTGAATATTTGAGCTCTTCTGTTGCCCGTGTCTGCGCTATCCTGAATACACTTACATGTGTACATACGCAGGTAGGCAGAGTCTGTGGTCTTGAGAAACGTGAGAAATTCAATGTTTCCATGATTCCAGTGGTTTTTGCTGGAATAATGGGGATATTTGAAGACACATCCACAAGGAGGGAATGGGATGTAGCTGGCTTACGTACAAAGTTTCGGAAGCAGATGTACAATGTATTCTTTTCCCATTATCCAGGTATGATTTTCAGTATCAGCCATTTAAATCTACATGATGAAGGTTAGGAAATGGGTGAGCACTTTCAATTCTCACTGCAATGAACAATAAATAAAACAGTCTACACTGATATAATGTTGAACGTGCCTCAGAGCCGAGGTTAAAACTTTGACTTGGATTTGCTTCAGATATTTAGCAACCCAGCCCAGTCTCGGCCAGAGAGAGAAAACTGGACTTTCTGTCTAGAACATTTTGCATTAATGACAAATATCCTAATATTCCCATATCATAACTATCGATTTTCTGAATCTTACGCGGAATGCACAACTCAGCCTCCGATTGTCTCTCAGAATAGGGCATGAAAAGTTCACATATTTTGTAAATTAAAATCAATATTTTCAATCTCTCCTAAAGGTAATTTTCCTAATTTACTGGACTTTCCCTTAACATTTATTTTCTCTTTTAATTAGAAAATGGCAGGTTATTGATTTTCGGGTATAACTTCTTGACAACCTGAGTGAATTTTTATTGCTAATGCAGGGTGGGGGTGGGGAGAGTTGTTGCAGCTCTTAATGAGGATCTTTAATTACTGGCTGAACAGCAGTAATTTGCTTTGATAAACTATGACACACACTCACGCTCAGCTACACACTCCAGGAGAAAAAGGGGTTAGTTAGCAAGTTGTTAATGCAAGATTCTTAACGTCCAGTGGTTTTTCTGAACTCTCCTCAGATCCTACCGGTAGGACTCATTGGTGATTTTTCCAAAAAAAATTTTTTTTTTTTTTGGTGAAAATAAACACAGCCAGGAGACAATATCTCCATAGATGCCCCATGCACCATTTCATGAAGTTGCTTACCTTCTTCAAATTGTATAACTGCTCTTGCTATCTTTTTCTAGATGATCCTACCATCATTAGTGTCCTCCTGAAACCCTATGCAGGCTCTGTGTGAGTCAGAACTGACTCCACCATACACAACCATCATCACCAATGTACGACCACTGCCCACAGTTCTCATCTAACCTTTCAAGATGCTTCTGATCATTTGATTCCCTATAGATAAGTCTTTGAGAGAACGTAGTACTCAACACAGGCATCTAAGTACTGTACTAATTAGGTCACTACAAACTTCTAGAAAATGTTCTCATTTGTGGGTTAAGGCTTACAGATAATCTCAAGGCATCCATTCAGCCTCACTGGGTCCAGAACATCTGGATTCCATTGAAAATTTTAAATTCTGTTCAGTAATTTCCCCCCTTTGATCAGAATTATAGTCCTGTAGGACTTTTTGAAAATGCATATCCAAAACCAGCTTCCAGATTTGCTAACTCAGTGTACCCCTTCTTGTTGTTAAGTGCCTTCAAGTCCATTCTGACTCATA